GTGTGTATTTGCTAAAAGCCAAGCCAAGTCTGAAATCACTGCAAGGTTGTGACTGAGAATCGATACTGTTTGACAGAAGGAGAGGACCTACTCATTCTGCGGCACCATCGAGTACATGGCCCCAGAGATCATCCGGGGCAGTAAATCCGGACACGGCATGGTGAGTCGGAATTCTCTACCCTCTCTGTGTGTCCGTGTTTTGGCCTCAACTGCTTTCTGTGGCAGAGAATTCCACAGGTCCCCCGCTCTCTGGGTGAAGACATTTCTCCTTGTATCAACCCGAAATGGCCCAACCTGTATCCTGGTTCTCGTCTTTGGGAACATCCTTCCTGTGTTTACCCTGTCTGGTCCTGTTTAGAATTCATAGATTTCTAGGACATCCTTCCCTCATTCTTTTAAACCCCAGTTAATATAGTCCTGACTGATCCACTGTCTCTTCACACGTCAGTCCTGTCATCCCAGGAATCTGTCTGGGAAACCTTTGCTGCTCTCCCTCCATCGCCAGAACATCCTCCCTCAGATAAGGAGACCCCAAACTGCACACAAAACTCCAGGGGTGGTCTCACCAAGGCCCCTGTACATCCCAGCTCCTGTAGCCGGAACCCCCTCGCTATGAAGGCCAGTGTCCCCTTCACCGCCTGCTGCCCCTCCAATGGTTACCTTCAGCAACTGGTGTGCGGGATTCCCAAGCCTCCTCGCACCTCACCCGTTCCCAATTGCCATTCAGATAATAATCTGCTCTCCCTGTTGTTTTGCCACCCAAGTGGATAATCTCACACTGATCCACGTTACACTGTGTCTGCCGTGCACTTTCCCCACCGTCTAAATCACACCGAAACATCTCTGCATCTCCCTCGTAGCTCACCCAGCTTTGTGTCCTCTCCAAACTTGGAGACATTATGCTTAATATATGTTGTGACTATCTGGGGTCCAAGCACTGAGCACTGCGGTCCCCCACTAGTCACTGGCTGCTACTCAGAAAAAGTCCACTCTATTCCTACCCTTTATTTCCTGCCTGTTAGCCATTTCTCTCTCCATGTCAATTCACTACCCTGAGTCCCACACAGTGTGATTTTAGTGCATCCTCTCTCTCTCCCGCCACTTCCTTTAACAGCCAAGAATACAGACCATCCGGTCCTGGGGAATTGTCAGTCTTTAGGAATAGTTTCCCCAGCACCATGCACTTAGTAAAGGGAAATTGTTGGATGTTTATCCCTCTCCATCATATCTTGATTTCCGATGATCTTTGGTGACTTTTCTAAGTCTCCTGCCATGAAGATGGATACAAAACGTCTGTGCAATGCGGTTGCCATTTCTTTGTTTTCTAGAGTTCCAATACTCACTTTTAGTTACTGTTTTCTTATAGAAAGATGGAGGAACTATTCGTATCTGTTTTCATGTTTCTAGCTAGCTTTCTCTTCCACTGCTTTCTACCTTTTTATTATCTCTCTCTCATGCGGTGTTAGTTACGGCTTTCCCCTTCACTTTGGTATTCTTGTGTAGTGTCCTGATGAGTGCAAGGTGAAACGTTTGATAAAATATCTTTGGATTTTTCATCCTTTTTAGTTGTTGGTTAATGTCTGCACAGTCCTGGAGTCTTACAGCATGGAAACAGACCCTTTGGTCCAACCATGTCGAGCATAATCCCAAGCTAAACAATCTAACCCCATGCTGTCCCTGTCCTGGGAGTGTTTGATGGGGGACAGTGTAGAGAGAGCTTTTCTCTCTCTCTCTCTCTCTCTCTCTCTCTCTCTCTCTCCCTCGCTCTCCCTCATCCTCTATCATCCTCTCTCTCTCTCTCTCTCAGGGGAAGCCCTCTAAGTCTCAATATGACAGTCTTGTTTATCTCTTTCTCTCACAGTCAGTCGATTGGTGGAGTCTTGGGATCTTGATGTTTGAGCTTCTGACTGGTGCATCTCCATTCACCCTGGAGGGAGAGAAGAACTCCCAGGGGGAAGTGTCCAGGTGTGAGACCGCTCCTACAATCCTGCTCCGGATAACGGGGGTTTGATAGCAAGGCCATCCCGAATTGCCCCCAGATTCAGTGGGGGTGAACCACATCAGTGCGTGTGGGTAGACACTCTCACAGTGGTGTTAGGTGACCCCGGATGATGGGTCTTGAAGGAGGCCACAGGTCAGGGCATCGAGACTAATGTGTTCACAGGTAGTGTAGAGTAAGCTTTACATTCAGCTTAAAAGAGTGGAGGGAGCTTTACTCTGTATCTAACCCCATGCTGCCCCTGTCCTGGGTGTGTTTGATGGGGGACAGTGTAGAGAGAGCTTTACTCTGTATCTAACCCCGTGCTGTTCCTGTCCTGTGTGTGTTTGATGGGGGACAGTGTAGAGAGAGCTTTACTCTGTATCTAACCCCGTGCTGTCCATGTCCTGGAGAGTGTTTGATGGGAGACAGTGTAGAGAGAGCTGTACCCTGTATCTAACCCTGTGCTGTCCCTGTCCTGGGGTGTGTTTGATGGGGGACGGTGTGGAGACTCTAATTGTTTGTGTGGTCACAGGAGAATCTTACAGGCTGATCCCCCGATCCCCTCTGAGATCAGTCCTGCTGGTCGGGATCTCATTCAGAAACTCCTCATCAAGGACCCGAAGAAGAGGCTGGGATCGGGACCCAAGGGAGCGTCAGAAATTAAACGCCATTCCTTCTTCCGGGTAAGTCTCTTCGGCCCTTTATCCTCCCCACCCACATTGACCAAAATCCTGCCCCTCCCTGACTCACCACCCCCATCCCCCTGTGGAGGGGCAGGCTGGGGTCAGAGGTCAGGGTGGGGTAGGGGTTCACGGCGACAGTGAAATCTCCCAGAGCTGGGCTTGAGCCTGCACAGCTTCAGGATGAACCAAGTTGCATTTCTCTAGCACCTTTGCCCAGGGTGTCGTGGAGCTGTGTGGAGGGTGGGGGTGAGGTATTGGGTGGGGTGGGGACAAGGTGTGTGTGGGTGGGGCAGTGTCACACTCTCTTTCCCGAGTGTCGTAATGCAGGGGGCGCGGTGGTCCGTGCGTGCACAGGAAGATCCTGCAATCTTTCCATTCCTCCCTTCCCCGCCAGCCCTCACTGCTCTGGGAGTGGGATCTTCCATTTCCCCCCTTCCCCGTGCCCCC